GGGCTTGGCATTACCTTCCATGTTCCCTAGGTGAGAAGCCAGGAAGTCCTGGTACCTTGACCAGGCTGGGTACCAGGCTGGACATGCTGAGGAGGAGGGCCGCCAAGCTCTTCCCAGGGAGTGGAGCCTTGGAAAAAGGACTTGGCATTGGCAGCTGGAAAAGCTGGAAAGGAAATTCCTAAATGGAAAGGCAGGAGTCATGTTAAGAGAGGAATTTTGGAGCAGAGTGGCAGGAAGTGAGGAGAAAGTACAATGGGAAGCACCTGGAACTATACCATAAATCAAAGGATTTTATTAGGTAAAGTGGACATCTCTCCCTAGATAGTGAGGATTTATCAGCAATTTGACATGAGTGACTGTTGAGTTAGATTTTTGGTTTTCTATTCCCATCTTTTTATCAACATTTACTTCAAGTTTGTGTGTTCATTTAAGACAAAAAGAAAGCATGTGAGTTATCAGAGATCAGATTACATTTTTTTTTTAGCCATGGCCACCTCATTTGCTATACATTTTTTAAAAGTGAAAACAATTAAAAAACACCTTCCAGTGACGTTTATTGAAATTGCAGTTTTCCTGTTAGTGTGTATGATTTTGAAATGCTTAGGCAGACCTCAGATTTCAGTATTGTGCTAAGTTTTTGAATCTGTACTGTGCTCCCACCTCACCCCCATGGTTAGGGGATGTCATTGGAGGTTTAGTGGGGATCAGGACTTTCGCCACTGCCCAGAGGTAGCCGGGCCACAGCTCCTCTCTCTCCACACACAGTTGGTGGAGTGCACTTTAGTAAACAAAGAAGCACATCTACTCTTGCCGCCTGCTCACCCGACAGCCGGAAGTGTGGCTACAGTCCCAGTGGAGACCCAGAGCTCCCATGCTTGCCCAGCAGTCGTGAGAGTCCCCTTCTTTTATGTCAGAGGAGCCTGAGAGGGGAAGCTAGACTTCTTCCACTCAGCAGTACCAGGCTGTGCCTTCCTTCTCCTGCTGAGTGGGGCCAGAGGAAGGCAGCCAAAACAAAGGTTTCAGTTGGAAACTACAACACCCTCCTCCAGACAAGTGATCCACATCTTCCTAGGAAAGCAGCAGGAACATAGAAGAACTCAACAACACCATCAGCCAAGAGGATCTATTTTGCTGTAGAGCACTTAAAACAAGAAAAGCAGAATATGATTCCATGCAAGTACCCATGGAACATGTAGCAAAAAAGATCATAAATCAAAACTAAATAAACTCAGAAGTATCAAAATTATACAGAATGCATTTGCCTGCCACAGTGCAATCAAACTAGAAGTCAATAACAGAAAGATAACAAGAAAATCACCAAATACTTGGAAACTAAGCATTGCCCTTCTGTATAATCCTTGGATAAAAAAAAAAAAGAATTCGCAAGGGAATTAAAAAAAAAGTAGAACTGAATGAAAATGAAAATGCAAGAATCAAATTTGTGAAACATGGCTAAAACAGGTTGAGAAGAAAATTTATAGCGCTAAATGAATATATTAGAAAAGAGGATAGTCTCAAATCATAATCAACTCCCACCTTAACAACCTAGGAAAAGGAGAGACAAATACACTGAAAGCAAGAAAACAGAAGGCAGTCACAAAGAGCAGAAATCAATAGAATTTTAAAAGGACAGAGAAAATCAATAAAACAAAGATCTGGTTCTTTTAAAATAACCACAAAATATGACAAACAGCTAGTAAGAATGACAAAGAGAAAAGATACAAGTTGCTAATATCAGGAATAAAATAGGAAGTATCACTACAAACTGCAGACACTGCAGACATTAAAAAGATCAAAAGGGAATTACAATCAGCTGTTATAAAATTAATAATTTAACAACTTAGATGAAAAGGACCTATTCCTCAAAAAACACAAACTACCTCAGTTTACCCAATATTAACTACATAATTTTAATAGCTCGATAACCATCAAGGATATGAATTTGTAATTTAACTCAACTGAACAGAACAGGAAGGCTCTGGTCCCATATGGTTACACTGGAGCTTTCCTCAAATACCTAAAGGAAAATGAACACTAACCTTACATAATCTTTTCTAGAAAAATAGAAGAGAGAACTCTCCTTAATTAATTTTCTGAAGCTACTATTACCCTGATATTAAAGGTATTTAAGACAAAGACAGTATATACATCCACAAAAGAAAAAAAAAACCTGAAAATCACTATCCATCATGATACAAATACAAAATACTTTTAAATACTAGCAAATATAATTCAATAATATGTTAAAAAATCATTCACATTAATAATTAATTTTTCCCCAGGGATGCAAAGCTGGTTCTATATTTGAAAATCAATCAAGATAATCTACCATATTAACTGGCTAAAGAAGAAAAAAATCACAGAATTATATAAATAGATGTGGAAAAAGCATTTTATAAATTTAACATCCATTCATGATAAAAAAAAGACTTAGAAAAATGTAGGAATAGAGGGGACAACCTCAATTTGATAAAGAGCATCTACTAACATCTTACAGTTAAGCTTATATTCAATGGTGAAAGACAGTGTTTTACTCATAAGATCAGAAACAAGGCAAGAATGTCTGCTCTCACTACTGTTATTAAACATAGTGCTGAAAGGCATAGCGCTATAAGGCAAGAAATGAAATAAAAGACATTGAAAAGGAAGAAAGAAATTGTATTTGTAGATAACATGATTGTCCATGTGAAAAATCTCAAGAATATATATATACATATATATATATATATTTCTGGAACTAATAAGTGAGCTCCTCAAAGTCACAAGATACAATATGAACATAAAGTAATCAATTTTATTTCTATACTGGAGGCCCGGTGCATAAATTCGTGCACAGGCCTGGCTGGTGATTGGGCCAACTGGGCCATCTCGCCTAGTCCCATTCAGGGTTGATCGGGCTGACTGGCCTGGGGGGGAGGGGGGTTGGGGAGGGACACGGGGGAGGACCACGGAAGGTTGGCCAGCTGTGGGAGGTTGGCTGTGGGAGCACACCAACCACTGGGGGCAGCTCCTGCATTGAGCATCTGCTCCCTGGTGGTCAGTGTGTGTCATAGCAACTGGTCAACTGCTCATAATGGTCACTTAGGTTTTTATATATAGATACTAGTAATGGACAGTAAATTTAAAATATAACATTGATAATCACTCATAAAAATGCGAATAGGTATAAATCTAACAAAACATGAAGATCTATATGCTAAAAACATCAAAATGTGGATGAAAAAAGTCAAAGATCTAAATAAAAGGAGATATATATCATATTTGTGGATTTGAAGACAATACAATAAATAGTCAATTTACTAATAATATAGTAATAATTCTCCCCAAATTGATACAGGGGTTTGATGTAATTCCTATCAAAATCATGTGAAATTTTGTTTAGATATAGCAATATAGTGAATATTATTCTAAAATGTATATGAAAACATGAAGAAAGTAGAATAGTTAAAACAACTCCTAAAAAGGAGAATAATGTGGGAGGAATTAGTCTACTTAATTTAAAGTCATATTATAAATTAATCAAGATGGAGGTGAAGACATAGGTCAATGGAACAGATTAAAGCATGGAGAAATAGATTTATACAGATGTGTTCAATTGATTTTAGGCAGGTGAGTGTACCCATAAATTGTCAACATGGGTGATCCAGGCGATGATGTGAATGTCCTGAATGTTTAGCTCATTAATGTCAATATTCTGGTTGTGATGGTTTTCTAGGATGCTATCATTGGAGGGATTGGGTGAAGGGTCCACAACTGAATTATTTCTTACAACTGAATGTGCATCTGTAAGGCTCATTCAGGGTTATTTGGCTTTTTTCTATATTCCTCTCACTAGATACATAGCCTCTTTCTCATGGATTCCTTTTCTGTTTAGTCCCCTCTTGCTGCCCATGAGGCAGTCCTCTCAAGCTGACTAGTTAAAATTTCACAAGCAGTCGGGTGATTGTTGTCTTTATTGACCTAACCACCCATACTCCCTTATGGGCAATGTGCCATTCAGCCTGGCCAGTGTGGCTCAGTGGCTGAGCGTCAACATATGAACCAGGAGGTCTCAGTTCAGTTCCCACTCAGGACACATGCCCGGGTTGCAGACTTGACCTCCAGTGTGGGACATGCAGGAGGCAGCAGATCAGATTCTCTCTTAGAACTGATGTTTCTACCTCTTCCTCCCTTCCTCTCTGAAATCAATAAAAATATATTTTGAAAAAAGAGGTGGCATTCATTGGGCAGCTGCCTCCCTTAGTTCAGTCCTGACCCACCAGGGCAAAGAACAGCCTATGACACCTGACCATAGTGACATGCCTCAAAATTTTTCCACAAGAAGCAGAAGCAGCTGTTGAAACTGATAAGCCTTCTGGCTGAGCTGATTTCTCAAGACCACATTGGAGTTCATGCTTAGCTGAGATTGGGAGAGGCAATAAAACATGAATCTCTTAAGAGACCAAATCTCCCAGGCCAGACTGGAATACCAATGAAAGCAGACAATGAAGTCATTTAAGCGTATTTAGAAGTAAACTGTCCTTGAATAATCTAGGCATTATTTTTTCATATGTTTTCTTCATTTTAAAGACTTCAGATTAATGGTTTAAATGATCCAAAAGGACCCTTTTAATAAAGAGACTGAATTTATCAAGCTGAAATCACACTTCCTTTTCAAGGTGTCACGGAGTCTTTCCACTTGGTTAGTGAGTTTTCTGCGCAGGTTAGAGGCCTTAAATATAAAGGTGACTTTATGAATGTGAGTCACCACCATTTTCTCTTAAACTAATGATGAGAGGAGGGCTTTGCAAATTAGAACAGAGAGGTGTCCCTGTGTAATGTGCAGAATGACAGCACACAGGTGAGCACTTTGAACCTGCATGTAATGTGAACTCTAAGACCTGAAGGAGCTTTTTTATGAATAACTTTAAACCTCCCCTGAATCAAGTTGTTCTTTAAAGGGAATTATTCTTGTGGTCATGTTTCATCATTAATAATTATGCCATTTTCTTTTATCCTAGGTAATGTATGAAATTGTTGGAGCAATTGAAAAAAATAAAGACTCCCTTTCACGGAATCTTTCATTTGTAATGAAAAGTAAGTTTCTCCCTTCCTATGGTTAAAATACCCCACATTTCTTAGTTCTCTGAACATTATCCTATAAAATATGCCACTAGCTAAAGGATAATTTAAATTCTGTTACATTCTAATGCCCAGAATCATAAAGAATGGATCTTTCCACACTATACATTGGTTACAATTTAATTTGGAGCCTAGTAAAAACCATAATTTAACTAAGCTTTTAGCAGATAGAAATATAAAACACCTTTAACACTCTAGTGTTATGAATATAAAAAAGCTCTTCTGTGAAGACTAATGAAGATGAATATGGCTTCCAAAGTTATTTAGGCCACAGCAGGGTGAATTCCATTACTTAAGACGATTCTGAAACACAGATAAGGGGTAGTTTATTCTTATGTAATTTATATAAAGAACTAATGCTCACAAAGTAGAATAAGCATACAAATTGATATGTACTCATGCACATACATATATCCATATATCAATATACATTTATAGGTTCCATCTACCTCCTGAACCTTAGTAATTTGTATATGTATATCTATAATTCTATACTATACTAAAGCTATATGCTACATGTATATATAGTGCAATTATATATATGTCAATATATATTTCTATCTCCTCTAGTAATTATTTTCCTAATAGCAGTTCTGCAGTCATTCACATTTTCCTAATAACCTTTTCAATGAATTAAAGCATATCATCTTTTGTGCTTTATGTTGCTCTGAATGAGATAGAGTCATTTATCTTTCCTAGGGAAAGAAGCACATGATAGTCTTTCATGAAATAAGGGGACACCTTTGAGCTGGAAGTAAGACATTCCTATCACTTCTGGTTTGAGGAACATATTTGCCTTAAGCCAAATAGCACAGTTACAATATATTGTTTTACACAGGGAATTACTCTGCTTGCCTCTTAGAACTTAGGGTTTTTGTGAGTTCTCTGAAAGACTGAGACTAATGATAAAATATGGACTTGGAATAATACCACATAGAAGGAAGAAATTGTAAAAAAACAGTCCTATTGATTATCATTGCATTGGAAATGTCTTATTGTTTTTCAATATTTGAACTTTCATTTATAACATACTTTCAGTTAACCCACACATTCTGTAAAGATCTTATATACAGCATGTTTTCCAGGTGGTACAATGACGTTTTCTTATTTTTGTATTTTATGGTCATAGAATATATATTTAGAATGAGGATATGATGGCTAGTGATATTGCAATTCTCCTTATTTTAATAGAATCCCAACATTTTAAAGCCATTCTTTTGTGTAAACTTGCTAAAATTTCCAAGAGAAAAACTAGTGATTCTTGCTTTATTCTAAGCACTTCAGGATTTAGGCACATTGAGGAAGAAGACAGAATTCACCGAGTGCTCTTGGATATTTATGCAAGACATGGCAACATTTTCCTTAAAGGGACAGAAAATAAATACCTTAGGCTTTGCAAGTCATAAGGTCTCTGTTGAACTCTGCTGTTATAAGAATGCAGCCCTAGACAACACAGATGGACATGGTGTATTCCATGAAACTTTATTGACCAAAACAAGAAGTAGGCCAGATGTGGCCACTGAGTCATAGTTGCACACCCATTCTATCATATGAACAAAAGATACATGGTTGTTACAGTATTTTATGAATCTGTGAAATGTTTTAATATCTTACACTATTTATCTGTGGTTGCATCCATACATAGACTTGCAATAAATACAAATAATTTTATTATTTAAATGGACTATAGTATTATATATTTACTATTTATCTTTATTTTGAAATAATTTAAACTTAAAGAAAGTTGCAAAATTAGTTCAAAGATCTCCCATATGTCCTTATTCCATATTTTTTTCATTTCCTTTCTTTTACTCTTTTTCTCTCTCTACCATTCTTCTCTTCTCTCTTTCTTTCCTTCCTTCCTTCCTCCCTCCCTCCCTCCCTCCCTCCCTCCCTCCCTCCCTCCCTTCCTTCCTTCCTTTCTTCTTTTATTTCTTCTTCCCTTCCTTCCCTTTGTGTGTGTGTATATACATCTATTTTTGATTCATTTGAGATTAAGTCACATGCATCTTTATTCCTAAAACTCTGGTATAAGATCAAGAGTATTATCTTATATAACATCAGTAAATTCTCAGAATATGTAACATTGATACAATAATAGTAATGTCTAATTATGAGCCCCTGTAAAACTTTACCAGTTAACCTTGATCACTTTTGAAGGTGGCATACTTCAAGTTTTTTTTAATCAAAAGTCACTGTTTTTTCTTTGATAAGTAATTTGTAAGGAAGCACTTTGGGACAATGTAAATATTTTTGTCCTCATCAAACTTCCACCCATTAGTTTTGCATAAATGAATGCTTCTTACCTAAATTAATGATTTCTCTATGGTTGCAAGATTATGGTTTTCTAACCCATTTTTTCCATCAACAGTAAATTCTACTATAAGAACTCATCTTTCTGATTAATTATCAATATGAACTCATAAATTCTTTTGTTTTTTTTCCTTGTCTCTTTAAAAAAATGTTATTGATATAATATTGTTTGATAACATTCTATAAATTTCAGGTGTACAGCATTGTAATTTGGTATTTGTATACTCTGTTACGTGCTCACCACCAAAAGTCTAGTTTCCTCTTGATTCCCTTATTTTACTCAATGAATCATAATCCATTACTATTATTATTTTGATGTTGAAATTGCCAACATGTGGCCAGTGAGAGCCTCCTATGTCCTTTTGACAGGTTCTCATAATATTTTTTAGCATTTTCTTGCATTTTTTTTCTTCCAAGATGTTCCAGGCTTTTCTCCCTTGCCTCAGATATAGAATCAGCCATGTGTCCAAGAAGCCTTGATTTATTTTAGAGTAGAATAGTATTTATTCTTAAACACGAAGGTCTGGGGGCCTTGTGAGCTCATTTCTATTGTGGTGTCATGGCTTTTTGGCTCTTTCAGAACTACCAAATTTAAGATATAGATATAGAAAATATATCAATATATAAAAATACTAGAGGCCTAGTGCACGTTTCATGCACCGGTGGGATCCCTCGGCCTGGCCTGCGTCCTCTCACAATCTGGGACCCCTTGGGGGATGTCAAACTGCTGGTTTCTGCCAGATTCCCGCAGGACAGGCCGAGGGACCCCACTGGTGCACGAATCCATGCACCAGGCCTCTAGTATGCATATAAGATCTTTGGTTAATCTCTTTCCTCCATCCCCTCTCCCCCTTTCCCTCTGAGATTCATCAGTATGTTCCATGTTTTCATGCCTGTGTGTTGAGCATCTGCCCCCTGGTGGTCAGTGTGCATCATAGCTACCGGTCAAATGGTCACTTAGGCTTTTATATCTATAGATAGCTATATAGTTATATATTAAAGTCATGAATTTATGCTATTACCTCTATTTTTAATTTAACTTAGGCTTTTATATCTATAGATAGCTATATAGTTATATATGAAAGTCATGAATTTATGCTATTTCCTCTATTTTTCATCTAACACCAAAGGGCTTCTTTTTGCCTTCTTGCATTCCATGACCATGTCTTCCCTCTCTGGACAGTTCTCCCTAGTTGTCTATTTGTTTATTCATAGAATGACTTTGCACTGAGTGCATTGCTAATAAATATGTTAGCCTGGACAAGCAAAATAATATGGGTGTAGAAAAGGTAAAATGGCTTTGGTACAAAACATTGCTAACTGTCTGATGGGCTGAGCATCATCCTAAATTATTTATGCACACTATTTCACATTTTAATCTTGTAGCAATCCTCAAAGTAGCTATTGTCATGGTCATTTTAAAGAAAAGGAAACTAAAGCTTAAAAACCTGCCTATATATAGATAGAGGTAACACAAGAAAAATGCCTTCTGGATCCTTAAATACCATATACAGTTTTGACTACGCTGTTTGAATTTATAACCAAAAATCCATTCATCATTACTCCAGTTTCTTTCTGAGATGTGAAGAAAGGAATGTGGTCCCCGAATTATTAGAATTTGTATAACATAACATCTAATACATATCAACATGTGCTTTTTATTTTTATTTTTTCAATTACAGTTTATATTTAATATTATTTTGTATTAGCTTCAGGTGTGTGGTATAATGGTTAGATAATAGTATACTTTACAAAGTGTTCTCCCCGAAAGTTCCAGTACCCACCGGGTACCATACATAGTTATTACAATTGTATTGACTATATTCCCTATTTATATGTGAATCTAAAGAACAGACTAAATGAACAAACCAAATTGAAATAGACTCATAGACACAGAGAACAGACTGATGGTTGCCAGAGGGGAGAGGTGTGGGGGCACTGAGTAACAAAGGTGAAGGGATTAAGGAGTACGGATTGGCAGTTACCAAATAGTCCCAGAGGTACTTACATCCAGCCCTGAGACAGCTTAGATTCTTGGGAAGCATGTTCCTGTGTAGTTACTTTCCTGCAAGAGGAGTTCCCGGGAGAATCCATGTCTTCATGACTTGGGCAAGTGCATTAAAGCCCCTTAGGATTGATCAGGTAAGATTCTGCTCAGACAGCTAGGAGAGTAGTAAGTGACAATTAGAGAGTGAGGGGTCAAGCACTCAGGTGGAGAACTGGGAAACATAGATCAGGACACCTGGCCAAGGGCAAGGGCGGTCAGAATTCATCAAATGGTACAATGCATCGTGGGGAAAATAAAATAGAGGCAAAGGGAAAGATGGACTCTTCGATTACATCTTCCACCCTGAATGTGTGACTAGCTGAAGGACTTGGAAGAGGAGTAAGTATAATGTAAATAACAATGTTAGTGCCACCTTACAATATTCATTTATTTATTTCCTAGCTAGTGAAAATGTCGTGATCAATCACTTGTTCCAGTCGAAACTGTCACAAACAGGATCCCTTCTATCTTCCTATCCTTCTTTTAAATTCAGAGGACATAAATCTGCCCTGCTCAATAAGAAAATGACAGCTTCTTCAACTATTGGAGAAAACAGGAATTATCTAGAACTTAGTAAGGTAGGAATTTTGTGATTGTCGTTTGGTTGTGTTTAAGTTTGCTTAGAATGTTTGCTTCTTTTTTTTAAAGAAAGCACAATTATAAGTAGTAAAGGAAAGAAATTGATATTTTAATTTTTAAAAATTAAATGAAAGGATGCCTACTTGAAGTATAAACATCAGAAAGAGGGACCAGTATAGGAAAGTACTTTCCAGTGAAAATTCAATAGCAAATAGTATTTGTAATTGTGTTGGTTGTCTGTGCAACATCCTATTTATGTTTCATCTCTATGACTGTCTCTGTGATGAATGGGAAGTAACTTTAGGGCTAGTAGGCTAAGGGGGAATTAACTTAGCTACCTTATTCTGTTGACATTAATTACTTGAGAGGTTTTAAGTCTCTGAACATAAATTGCAGTTTTTCACAGACACAGTGCCTTTTTCAGGTGCTAGAATGTTTTTACTGCATATTTTGTAGACATTTAAGTTTTTTTTTATTATACTATTTTTTAAATGTGTATTTGTCTCACACAAGTGTGGCTGCTCTTACAACCTAATGGTTCAAACTATTTGTGTAATAGAACTACAAATTCAGTAAAGAGTTTTTTCAAACTGAAATGTCTTCAGTTTAAAATTCAGTGTGGCCCAGTTTGTTTTGCTTGCCTCTACCAAAACCATAAAAGATGAGAAATATGATTGGGAAGGTGTCCAGGACAATCATTTTTAGATACTCAGTTGTAGCTTGCTGGAATGCATTTTAGCTTACCAATTAAAATGAAAGCATAATTAAAATCAGCTCTATTTTAGAAGAGTGGCAGAAATGTGTATAACATATTAGAAATCTGTGTGTGTGTGTGTGTGTGTGTGTGTGGTTCCTAGGCCTGAGACTTAGGGATCCTTTGATATAGCTATATGATCACAGGAATTCAATCTCACTGAATACAAAAATGGCATCTTTTACATAAAAAAGACAAAGATTTACCCTTTATAAGGAAGATCTCTATCCCTGCGGGTTTCATTGAACCTGTTGGCTCTTCCTTTCTCAATCATCCTGGAAATCAAGAGCAAGAAATCATCGCACACCTCTAAATTGTAATTTTTGACCTTAATTATTAAACATTACCAGGCATAGATGCCATTAGTCTTTTCCCTAAAGGACTGAAGAAGAGAGATAACTCACAGTAGTTCCTCCACCCAGAGAGGGATATTGAATGTTTAATTTCAAGGGGTGGAGATTTATTTATTATGATTACTCCTTAAGTGTTCCATTCCTCACTTCTGTTCAAACTGCCCTCATCCCTGCACGTCCTCCCCTGTGACTGGCAGAGTAGGTAGGAGTCAGCCCACTTTTTAACTGAGCGTCACACTGGGCTTCCTGTTTGTAGGAAAAGGTTGATCCTGGACCAGTCACGTCATTTGACAGTCCCTCATCAGTGATAATTAATCATTTCTGTTTGACAGTTGATCTTAATGGAAGGAAAAGAGCTATTGCCATGGCAGCAATAACACCAAATTGACAAGATTTTTATTAGAATTTTTTTCTTCTATAAAGATCTTTCTATTTAAAGAGAAATGATTTTGGATCTCTAGATATGTTGGCTTAAGTCTGTATGATTTTGTGAAATGTAAAGGTACATTAGTGGTTGAGATTCCTTTTAGACCATGGTAGAATTTAATTAATTTCCTTGTGCCCTTTATTTCTCCACTCCCCCTGGCTTCATTTTAACTGACTTTTTTTTTTAAATCTCCATTATGATTTAATCTTTTCTACACATGATTTTTTTTTTCTTTTAAGAGGTGTATTTAATTACTTATCACAGAAAATAGTCTATTGTTCTTTTTCACAGCCAGGCAAACGTTTTGTAGTTTAAAATGAAGAAAAGGAAGGGTAAGGAAAAATAAAGGGTGAGAAACGAATCGTAGTCAATCTTAAGGAAACAAACCAATGGTTGTTAAAACATCAAATCTTTGTAACACAACATAGTATTATTTTGCCCTAGAGTCAGTGACATTTCATGATAAATGTGGGCAGTTAGGTATACAACTAGTAAAAATACCAGGGTGAGTTTATTGTACTAACAAGTGAGTCTGGACCTATATTTAATTTCAAATTAAAGTGGGCGCAGGATGCTTACAGCCACCTACTTGAAGGGTTGGTAGTAATGGTTGTTATTTTACATGTAGTTTCCCATTTCCCCAACATTATGGTAGTGTTACAGAAAATCATTTGATACTGATTTTTATAGTCTGTTTTAAATCGATATCTGCCTGTCAGAGAATTTACATGGATGAGAGAGTTAATTTTCTTCTTCTAAATGGAATTTAGTAAACTAAATTTTCCCACCCTTTCTTTCTTTCTGTTTTCTTTATAGTTATTGAAAAAGAAAGGAACTTCTACATTTCTTCAAAGACTGGAACGAGGAGGTCCAGTCACCATTGCATCACAACTCAGGGTTAGTGTTGTTTTCTGATTCTAAAACCTAAATTTTGATCATATCAACTGTAGAGGGTTTACATAGAATTCCCCCCCCCCCATTTTTGACCACTTGAGTACCTTCACACGCACACACACACACACACACACACACTGAGTGAAGGCATAACTTTTAAAGTCCTGATTGAAGGTAAAGATTTTTTTAAAATATATTTTATTGATTTTTTACAGAGAGGAAGGGAGAGGGATAGAGAGCTAGAAACATCGATGAGAGAGAAACATCGATCAGCTGCCTCCTGCACACTCCCTACTGGGTATGTGCCCGCAACCTAGGTACATGCCCTTGACCGGAATCGAACCTGGGACCCTTGAGTCTGCAGGCCGACGCTCTATCCATTGAGCCAAACCGGTTAGGGCTGAAGATAAAGATTTTTATTTAAAAACTGCTTTATATTTTGTCATCTTTGAAGAATCAGTTTGGTTTTTACTTCTCTCCTTAGAAATCTCTAACGGATATTATTGGAAAACTTCAGAAGTGCACTCCACACTTTATTCATTGCATCAAGCCCAATAACTCAAAGCTGCCAGATACCTTTGATAATTTTTACGTGTCTGCTCAGCTACAATATATTGGGGTCCTGGCGATGGTGAAGATCATTCGATACGGATACCCTGTTCGCCTGTCCTTCTCAGATTGCCTGTCAAGGTAAATTTTGTTCGTGAAACACTGTGTTCACTGTTCAGTGGAGCATACTGACCATATTGCAACGAGGGTCTTCTGATCTTTTTCTTTATTATGGCGTTGTTTTTATTATTCATTTTCTCCCATCCAGAAGAAACAAAATACTCTGGGAAACAAGGAAACACACTGATAAAGCTAATGTAAAAAAGTTGCTAAACTTTGATACCTTGGAAATCATTTTCATGTTCTCTTAAGTTTGGGGCGTTCCTTGGATTTAAAGATTTACAAAATTGTCACCTATAATGTTTACATAAAGGTTATTATTTGAAGGAAGAACATATATATGTGATTATTTTCTTTTTTATATCTATGAACAAAACATTTTTTTTTAGATTAGGGGCTGATAAAAAATTCATGGGCCAAATTTAGACCATCACCTATTTTTGAAGATAAAGCTTTATTAAAACAGATGAAAATGTCTGATTTTAAGGAATCAATAAAAGAGGGGGCAGACAAAATAAAAACCAGAAAGTATTTGTTAATCCTATATAAAAAGATGAAATTTTAAAATAGTTTTGATATAAAATAGCAATAAAGATGTAAGAATAAAATCTAGCATTTAAGGTTGCAAACTAACTGTACAATAGAGTATGGAAAAATATTTTTGACGATCCATTCATTTAAGAAAAGAGATTTTTAGAATTTTGTTGACCAGAAGTTCCATTTGAGTCACTAGTCTGGAGAAGCTGCTAAACTTAAATCAATAAGTTAGAAATATTTAGCTCAGAACAAAGGGCATAGTATTTATGACTAAAACCCTATGTTCAATTTCTTTAACATTTGTTTTTTCAGAAGAAAGAAGTAGCATTTCCTCATTGTGTGTTTTGGTAAATTTCACAAAAACACAGAGAAGCAGATAAAAATCATATGAGTTTTCTTCAGCTATCCTTTAAAAAAACTGATAGAATATCTGCAGAAGAGAAGATAAAATTGGCCACAAGTCACGATAAATTATTTGGGGAATGGATATGTTTAACCTGCAGGTTTACATTTAGGATTGACAAAATATCTGTGGGTTAAAACTTTAAAGATGTTTATGAACGAGTAAATAGACACACTGTCTCCTATTTATAGGGAAGAACTGCAATATATTTCCCACACATAATAGTTTGGGCATTCAAAGTAATCCTTCCCACTTGTTTAAGTACAAGTAGTCTTTGGATTAATGAGTTTAAAATCTCCCCCTAAACAAGTTTAAAGTAATAGATTTCCAAATTCACCCAAGACTTTTCACATGGCAATCAATACAAATTAAAATCCCAGGACCCCCTGGTTTGTCTTGTAGTAAGGGGTAAGGTGCAGGACCTGCTAGTAGCATATGATATCAGAGGGTCACAGGTCTTGGTAAATTGGAGCTTGGGCAGCAGTAGTAACTCCCTTCCCAAACATTGCTGAGAACAGCTGCTCCCCAACATTATTGTCCATGAGAATCACTCTAGGCTTGTTAAAACAGATTCCAGGGCAGCACCCCCGAGTTTCCCACTCAGCAGGCCTAGGTGAGGCTGTAAAATTCTCATTTCTAATGGTGATGCTGACATTGCTGATAGGTGAACAACCCTTTGAGAACCACTGGCCTAGAATACCTAGTCATCTGGGGCTATGTCTTTGTTCTGTTTTGTGTGTGTGTGTGTTTTCCCAGCCAAGAGCTGAAAGTATGTGAATGCCTTGATAATCAAAGTGAACTTTTTGAGACTGCAAAATCTCAATGATTTATTAAATTATTAATTGAAATCTGCAAATTTTTTGAGATTCCCTAGTGATCTGTATACACTTGTAGTTTGAAAAACACTGTTGATGGATTTCCATATTGGATATGAAATAGGATTAATCTAACTGTGAAATTTTTAAAAAATATATTTAATGCTTTTTTTCTGTTTCCTTACTTTGTTAAAGTGTCCTAGAATCATGGAATCAAAGAAGGTTTGCATTAAAGGCCCCCTTATGTTTCCTTTAGTATAACCTATGGTAGCTGTATAATTCTTTGTTTATTTTGTTTTTACTGTTGACACTATTATAGATAGTGTCCTCCCATTTCCCCCCACATTTGCCCACCTCCATCCATCCCCTTTACCCCACCCACCCTCCCATGACCATCACCATCACCACACTATTGTCTGTACCAAAGGGCTATACATATATATTCTTTGGCTAATCTCTTCACCTTCTTCCATCCAGTCCTCTATCCCCTCTGACACTTGTCAGTCTGTTCCATGTATTCATGCCTCTGGTCTATTTTGTTCCTCAGTTTATTTTGTTCATTTGATTCCACAGATCAGTGAGATCATATGGTATTTGTCTTTCTCTGAATGGCTTATTTTGCTTGACTACTGTTCAAGCAAGCAGTTATTTGAATTGCCCTATTCCCTGAGAAAAGGGTAGAGAAAATGGCTGTGTGTTTGTGTGTGTGTGTGTGTGTGTGTGTGGCGGGGGCGGGGTTACAATATTATATATCATAATGATTAGAAAATTAGTTTTATCTTTATTTTATTTTTTAAATCTAGTTTTACATATACACTCTATGAAGATTTATTTCTATTAAAATAGCATATGCAATGAGTGTCTTTTAAAATTAAGTTCAATTTTTTTTTTATATATGCTTTTCTTGCTATACTATGACTTCTAGGCAGGGACCATCTCTTATGCAATCACAATTCCTGTGCATTTTTGGTGTTTAATCAATGTTTTCAGAATGAACCTGACCTTGAATATTAATGGTTGTTCAATTTGAAGTAAAGTTCCTGCATAACAGAGACCATAGCTGTACTTTATTTGTTTAAAAGAGTAGTGTTGATGGGAAATGATATTTTTTGAAAATCTTTGCATTTCTTTAGTCAACCCCTTATTTTAAAAGGCAATGTGATATCTAATTATTATCTTTATTTGCAATGACATATCAATAGAAATTGCATTATTAATTTATTGCAATGGAAAATTGTCATCATTTATCTTAAATGAAGAATGCCAGTCTGGAATATTATCACAAAAATGCCAATAAATAGAGATAATATGTTTTAATAGAACTTGAATAAAACACAATCCACATACTGTCACGTCAGAAAATAACATGATTTATTATTCAGAAAGCACATCAGAACTTTGAAATCTCCCCAGGCTATCAAGCATCATTATATATAAAAAGCCTAGAGGTGCAATTTAATAGAAAATTTTGGTTGCCAAACTATCAGACAACAGAATGTATTTTTCTTATGTAAAATATTTATTTTCTATTCATAGCACCTTGTCTTAACTGCTAGAGAATAAAATCCTGTCAAAACAAATGACTTTGTTTAGTATACAAAAAGGAATGTGGTTACAAAAAAAATTGGACAAATATAAAAAAGATGTCCAGTTTTGAGGCAAACACCTACTTATGTGCACAGCATTTATTGTTTCTGATATCCAACATGATAACAAATGTGGACAATGGACATTCCAGTAGAATCTGCAAGTGCACATGATTATATTACAAATTTGCTCCCTGGTATCTGGGCTTTAATTACTATTCATCATGCTGAGTCTTCCTAATTGAAAGAGGAGAATTGTTGTAGTTGAGAGGATCCTATTTTGATTAAGTGTAGAAGTATGCTTGTTGAATTTTTCCCTGATAGTGTCAGAAGCTTCCTAGGGGGACGATAAAGATAAAGATCTTGTCTCTCATGGCAGGAAACTTCACAATTTTGGATATATGAGGAAGAAGAAAAGGAGCAACAGAACTGAATTATTATATAAAAATCGTGATACATAAAATTACATATTGCTTGGACTGAATTGTGTCCCCCCCCCCAATTCATATGTTGAAGCTCTAATCCCCAATATGACTGAATTAGGAGATGGGCCCTATAAGGAGGTAATTAATAGTTAATGAGATAATAAAAGTGGGGCCCTGATCCAAGTTCTGATGTGGCATATGATACTCCCTTTTTCTCATTGCTTAATGGCAGTCACTTGGCCAAGGTTAGCATCATTAGGGAGGAAAGGTATCATATTCAGGAGGTACCACAAAACACACAACAAAGAGTGGGGAAGTGTCATTTCTGGCTCACTTGTCTGTTGCTGTATGACAGACTATCCCAAAATTTAGTGGTGTACAATAGCAATCTACTATTTCTCCCAGTTCTATGGGTTAACTGTACTTTGTGGGCAGTTCTTGTCTGTGGTCTTCCTGACAGTTGCTGCTATATAGCAGACGAGTTTGGTGTTAGCTGAAGGGCTCAGTGGGACTGGATGTACAAGACGGCTTCTTCCCTGGTGTGTCCAGACTCCAGTGCCTCAGTGTTCCTCCATGTGGCCTCTCTCTCCATCAGAATGTCCTGGACTTCTTAACTTGTGGCTATCAGTTCCAAAGGGCAAGAATAGAAACTCAGCCCTCTTAAAACCTGGGCGTGGGACTAGTACAGCATCACTGGCTCTGTGCTCTATTGGTCAAAGCAGTTGCTGACCAGCCCAAATCCTTCAAGTGGTAAGGGAGAAATTGACAGTGGCCAACTTTGAGACAAGCTGTCACATCTTCGTAAAGGAAGAGAATGCAAGTAATAGGGAACAATAAAAAGTCTTCCACAGCCATGCCCATCCATATGAATGATATTATTTTCGTATCTCTCCAGGAAGTGTACTAGTATGTGAGTTTGATGTATTAAATAATATAATACCATCATTTTTGCCAAATTATAGAATTGTGGAAAATAATCATGGGTGAATGCTGAGGAAATGGTTTTGAGAAGCTCCTAAAGGTATGGCACCATGCCTCGTCCCTTATGTGGTGCCATACCACTCTTTTCCAAAGCTCTCTTTAGTAGCCCATATTCTTGTGACATTAAAATTAACATAGCTTTTCAATGAGTCGTATGTATCTCTACTCTTCGCAGGGTGCTAACCCTCCAAATAGTCAACCTCTCCTGGGTGGCAAGCTTCTAGGGGTCATATCCATCATTCATCTATGGGCTTGTTTATGGTTGGCAGCAGAG